TTGACATTTTTTGGTTTCTGAGTCTGAGGTGTGTGTGCATGTGCGTGTGCATGGGCCAAAACATATATAATGTAAAATTTGCCATTTTAACCATTTTTTTCAGCATGTGATTGAATGGCTTTAATTATATTCACACTGCTGTGTAACTGTCCCCATGCTTTTTCCAAAACTTGTTCGTCACCCCAAACAGAAGCTTTGTGCCCCTTAAACAATAACCTGAGTCTGCTTTTTAGACCCCAAAATAAACTGAGCTTCATCAGGACAGTGATTCTTTCTTACTTATCTCTATCCGTAGCTCCTAGTAGGGCCTGGCATGTAGTAGGCATCCAAGATATTGCTTACTAAACTGAAGAATTAAAAGAGAAAGTTTCTTCTGAGATACCTGGAAAAATTTGGGAGAGGTGACATTTCACTGGACTCTTACAAGATGAATGAGATTTCAGTAGGTGAATAGGAGGGAAGGGCATCCCAGGCTGGGGGAACGGGAACACAGGGTGGCCTCTGCAGGCGGCCGCCCCGAAGTCAATGTTCCCCTCCCAGAACTGCAGTTTTGTTTAGGACAGCAAAGTGCACAACTAAGAAATATACATACATTTCCTAGCCTGTCACTCAGATCCAGGTGGCCATGTAACAGTTGTAGCCAATGTGATATAGGCAAAAGATGAATGGTGATTTCTGGGGAAGGTTCACATTCCTGAAATGGGTATTGCCACTTCCTCTTTGTTTTCTTTCTTCTACCTCTTGTCTGGAATGTAGATGTAGTGGCCGGAGGACAGTAGCCATCTTGCAGCCTTGCAAAATTATGGAGTCCCTGGTCCTGACATTTTCAAGCCACTGAATTAGCAACTCTAGATGGGCGTGCAATTCCTAACAGTAAAACTTGCCTGAGATTTTTTTTTGTAAATTGCATTTAATATAAGTCTCAACTGATATGATAGTAAGTGGTTATAGAAGCAATGGCAAGTCTGGAAAACAAGACTAAGTACAACCTCAAGAACCATGGTGGCTCTGGCCAGCAGAAGAACTTCTGCCTTTTATGCCTCATGGAACTGGCAGCCAAATGGGGAAGTTGCCTCTGCAGCTGCTCTCTGGCAGGATCGGGAAACCACCCAAATCAGCAAAAGCCACAGTCTAGAAGTGAAGATGACCAGGAAGCCACCATAATCAAGCGGTGTCTCTGGAAAGCCAGACCTCCGGTGCACTTGCCAGCAGAGCTACAGAAGCAGGCAGGTGAGGTCACCTCGTCACTCCATCTTCTAAACCCTGCTTGAGAACATCTGATGGACTGGACTAATTCATATTCAGAATTTGTACCACAAAGGAACCTGGAAATGTGATTTTTTTTTTTTAGCTTTCCAGTCTACACACGCTAGAAGGAGGTTGAAGTAGAAATTGAATACCATGGATGACTTCTGCCATAACCTGGAACAGAGATGTTCTCCTTCTTCCCCTGGCCAAGTACTGCTCATCCTCCAAGTTTTGGGTTAGACTTCACTTGCTTGAGAAGGCATTCCCCGACTCCCAGTGTATTTAGATGGCCACTCTCACCTCCTTGCTAAAAATCCCCATATCATTCTGCAGTTTTCCATTACAAATTATATATTCAATATACTCCTACTCTAAGAGCTTGTCTTCCCTGCTAAGCTCCACGATAGCAGAGACTGTTCTATCTTGCTCATCCCTGTGTCCTCAGTAGTTTGCCCAGTGCATGATACAGTATAGTCTCTCTGTATGAAATGAGTGAATGTATTGCATGAATAAATAAATGGATGCACAAAGGAGAGCATGGGGGGTAAGCACTTTGGAAGAACATATCATGAGGCAAATACAGACATTGGTTGGAGGAAAGTTCCTCTGACATGGGAGGGGGTTTCCATCTCTGTGATTTGTTTTGCAGAAGTGGATACACTGGTAAGTATAAAGAATGGCAGACCTGGATATCATCTGGAAAAATCCATCACACTAAATAATTTTCATCAGCAGCCTTGAATGGAACGAGGTTTGCCTAAGAGAAGGGCATTTCCCAATCATGGGTATCTGTCTCCAATAAAAAACACTGGTCCCCAGAGAACTTGACTTTGAGGAGCCTGGAGATGAATGAGATGCTCAGGAGCCTAAAAGATGTAGGAATGGTCTTTGTTCAGAGGTTGTCCACAGCCTGGTCCTCAGAACAGACTGTCTCAGAGAAGGAACATTTCCCATACAGTTCTGGGACAGGAATGTTAACGAATACAGACTCACTTCTTCAAGGATTTGACCGGACAACTTATTCTCCTGTGTAGAAGCCTGCCATAATCTTGAAAAGTTTATTTCTCTGAAGAAAGAGCCTGAATGGTAGCTATGTGTTTGGCACAGTAGTGCTTAGACTCTGGCACAAAATTGGCCTATCAGAAACTCCTTTCCTCTAAATAGAGGGACCAATTACACTGGATGGACCAAGGTCTTATGTCAAATGAATGCAGAGCCCACTTTGGGATTCCCAGCCCCCCTGTCTCTTGTTCCAAAAAACTAATTACAGTTGAAATTGCTAGCAGAGTGAGTTTAGTAACAGCCCAGAGGCAGCAAAGCCCAGGGGAGAAACTGGGGCTGGTCAAGGGAGAGCCACACTTTGGGGCTTGGTTTTGATACCTGTTGTATAGGGCCACACTTCCCCTAAGATACACTAATATGGTCAACAAAACTAAAGTTTGCAAGGTCAAGGTCACATAGCAAAGAGGTATTAATTAGAAATTTATAATATGTGTATATGCATATGTATACATATATACGTAAATATGGAATATAGGTACTTATAAAACATCAATAGACAGTGGTCAAGGTCATGTAAGATGTTCGGGACCCATTTGTGCCTCATTCTCCCTTGGTCTCATTATTGATCCATTCATCCCCACTCCCTCCCACCCATGAATCCTCCTGCCTTGCTTACAAATCTAGGAAATACTTAGTTTTTTTCTTTCAGTGTTCCTCTTTTCTTTCTTACGACTTTCTTGGTTTAGAATAGTCATTGAGAGGTAGAGCTCTGGAGTCAGACTTTCTCAGTTTAAATCCCAATTCTACCACTTGCTGCTGTGTGACCTAGGAAAATTAACCTAATTTTTCCCTGTCTCGGCTTCTACTCTGTAAAATGAAGATTAAAATATCTCTAGCCACATGGAATTGTTGTGGGAATTCAATGAAGTCATCTATACGGCATTTAAAACAATGCCTGGCATATTATAACTTCTCAATGATATTTGTTATCCTTCTTATAATTTTTGTTATTAATATTTATGTGTTGCACTCTTCTACTGTTTGGAGGCATCACTTTCATGAATTTTATGTAGTAAGTCAAATTTATGGTTTAAATGACAGATCAAATTTGTTTCCCTTTCATTCCCCATACTGAGAATTCAAAGAGAGCAAGTGAGCATAGGTTGATCTCAAGATGAGCTGGAACTGAAGAAATTAAACTTACTGACCAAATGTGCAAATTTCAGAGAAAAGAATTATAGCATTAATTATCTTGCTTTGGGCAGTAGGCAACAAATCCTGCACAAACTGGCTTAAGCTAGAAGGAAACACATTAGTTCACATAGCAGATATCCAACAGTGCGTGATGTGGGGGGTTTCAGAGCTGGTTGATTGAGAGATTTGATGATGCCATTTTGGTCCTGGGTTCCTGTTCTTTCCATCCCTCCCGTCTGTCTTCTGCAGCAATGGCCTCATCCTAAGTCTGGCTCCCCTTGTGTTCATATGGTGGCTGCCAATGGCAACTGACACATGTGTCTTCTTTGCCATCCAGTGAGGGAGAAAAAAAGGCTAGATACCCCTGAAAGATTCTTCACTGGCATCTTCTCATGACTCAGGGGCCTCTCCACATCTACCTGGAAGGAATGGTGTTGCCATGGTTTCTGTAGACCCATCAGCTGGGGTGGCGTGCAGGTTGGAGTTCAGTCCCTGTGACCTTTGTAGGGATCACATGAAAGGTTTTCAGATGGTGCCAGGGCTTACCTCGAGTGTCAACAAATAAGGATGGTCTGTTTATCTATTGCTATACAGCAAATGACCCCAAACTTAGTGGTTTGAAGATATAATTGTTTTATTATATCTCACAATTTATGGGTCATGAATTCAGACAGGGCACAGCTGGGAGATACTCAAGCTTCACATGGGTCGCTCATTGGTACCAGCTGGTTGCCAGGCCGGTCTGAGGGTCCTAGGTTGTCATCACTTCATGATTGGCACCCTGGGGACAGCTGGGGGCTGGGCTTAGCTTGATGCCTCCCCCTTACTGGGTAGTCTCAGGACCTTTCCCTGTGGTCTCTCTAGCAGAGGGGCTGGACTTCTCACAGCTCAGTCTGCTACCCTGCTATAAGAGACAAAGAAATTGTGAAATAGAAGATGAATACAAATGATTTGAAATGTTGTCTTCAGTACAAATAAAAAGTGTAAAGAAATAGGCATGCAACTTCTACTAATAGGCACTTTATTTCCCTTCATGCCCACTAAGTGGAGGTGTCCATTTTTTTTCATTTGACAAAATTAGTTTTATTATATTGTTGAATCTATAAAATAGTCCTATTCAAAAATTATTTTCTAAAATACAATTCTTTTTTTTCTTTTATTATGTTATGTTAATCACATACATTACATCATTAGTTTTTGATGTAGTGTTCCATGATTCATTGTTTGCGTATAACACCCAGTGCTCCATTCAGTACGTGCCCTCTTTAATACCCATCACCAGGCTAACCCATCCCCCCACCCCCCTCCCCTCTAGAACCCTCAGTTTGTTTCTCAGAGTCCATAGTCTCTCATGGTTCGTCTCCCCCTCCGGTTTCCCCGCCTTCATTTTTCCCTTCCTACTATCTTCTTTTTTTTTAACATATAATGTATGATTTGTTTCAGAGGTACAGGTCTGTGATTCATCAGTCTTACACAATTCACAGCGCTCACCATGGCACATAGCCTCCCCAATGTCTATCACCCAGCCACCCCATCCCTCCCACCCCCCATCACTCCAGCAACCCTCAGTTTGTTTCCTGAGATGAAGATTTCCTCATATCAGTGAGGTCATATGATACATGTGTTTCTCTGTTTGACTTCTTTTGCTCAGCATAACGATGTGGATGGAACTGGAGGGTATTATGCTGGGAGGTGTCCATTTTTAAAATATCGGTTGGAAGAGGTGCGGCTTTGTCATACGGCCCAGGGTGCCAGTGTCACTGGCTATCCCGGTCCTGGGTGAGCTATGGGGCTGTCTTTCCTTCTCTTCTCATCAGCCCTGCTTGGTCTGGAGCTCCATCACCCCCATCTCCAGCATATCCCCGGAGCCTCCGGTCGGAACTTCCTGCCACCAGTCTCATCCTTGAGAGGTCCACTCATCCTCTGTATTGTTTTCCAGTGTGGTTTCTCTGAAACACAAATCTGCTCAGACCATTCTCTGGCCTAAAGGCAATATTTGGTTTTCATTCAACAACCGGATCAAATCCAAACTCTTCAGTATGGCTCACAAGATTTTCCTCTCCTGGGTCAAATCTCCCACTTATCAGTGGAATGTAAGCTCCAAGAGGGCAGCCATCTCATCTTTCTTATTCGTTGCTTTACCACTGACTCCAAGACCAGGCCTGATATCTAGTAGGCACTTCATAAATATTTGTGGAAGTCCAATGCACTATCCATTGCGCCACGGAGCCACCTTCATAAATATTTGTGGAAGGAAGGCAGGACGTGAGAAGGACAGTGGAAGAAAGGAAGAAAAGCAGGAAGTTAGTTCCTGTAGCACCCTGTTCTTCACCTACCATAATACTCACTTTGAGCTTAATGTCTGGCTTCCTCGTGGATGGTAAGGTCCACGGGGGTAATAGACACACCATATGCACTACTCCTGGCAGTGTTCGGAACAAAGTCAGTGCTTGAAAACATTCCTAAAATAAGTGAATTAATTAATAATGTGGTAAGTGCTTAAGGCACATACACAGAGGGGTGAAAGCCTGAAAGAAAGGCCAGTTGGTTCTCTGGCGTTTGGAAGGGGACAAGGCAGGAACGAGTCCTTGAAGGGTGATGCCAATGGTTTCTGCTTGGGGGCCCAGGCTCACGGGAGTCTGAGTGACTGGTCCCCTTTAGGCCCCTGGCCCTGGAAGTTTGAATCCTTTGCTCAGTCCCGATATCCCTTTTGTGTATCCAGTTTTCTTATTTGGCACGGGTACCCGACCCTGCTAGTTTTTTTCCAAGAGAGCAACTCTTTTGAAGTGATGCGTGACTACCTTGCCTCAGCCTCCTGGAATGTGACCTCATTCCTTCCCCAGGTCAGTCCCCTCATTAAGTGGCCTGCCCGGTCCTGCTCCATCAGGCAGCCTGCCAGGCATGCACTTGGCATAGGAGTGCCAATTCAGGGACCAAGGCAGCCCTATTTAAGAGCATGGGCTTCAGACTCAAAGAGACCAGATTTTGGATCCTGAACCCACCACTCACTAGCTGTGTGGTCTTGGGCAAGTTGCTGCCTTGACTTCATCATCTATAAAGTGGAGCTAATAATAGTGCCTAATTCAGAGCATATTTGTGAGGATTAAATTAGATACTCCATAAGCCTACACCACAGAGAGCTCATAAATGTTGCTTATTATTTTTCTGCTCAAGGATGACACAAGTCATGAATTTCTCTGGGATGGAGCAGGGGTGAAGAGAGAGAAGGGGAAGGGGAGGTGGCATGTATTGAGCACTTACGATGTACCAGGCGCTGGGCTGGCATGTCTGCAAGAGTTATCTCCCTCACACCACACAACCCTGTGGCTCTGTCTGACATTAGTCCCATTTTCCAGTGGAAGGCATACAGATTGTAGACAAACAGTTGGAATTTAGGCTCTGGAGTGCACTTGCCATGTGAGCCTGGGTAAGGCCCTCCCCCGCTCTGGGCCTCGATTCTCCACCAGCTGTGGCAGTTTCTATGTGATAGGCTTGCTCTGTGGACTGAATGAGCTAGTGCTAGGTTAAAATGCTTAGTCAAATGATGCTCGGTGTATGTGACTTTCTTCATTCCCAAAGGGACCCCTGGTTGAGAGCAGGGATTGAATGGAGAGAGGGAGAACATGGGGACATGCCAGGAAGAGGCATCCCAGGGCATCAGGATTCTGGAGGGGACACAGTCCCCAGAGTAGTGGGCTACTATAAACACCACAAATGGATGTCCCTGTGGGGCTGGCAAAAAAGACTGATGGCTGGCTACCTCCATCTCTGACCTTGTGTTTACACTGAGTAACAGTAATCACACCAGATTGTAAGTTAAGGTCCTTAAAAGCAAAAATTGGAGCTTTTTTCCTCTTTTGCACCCAGCACAGAGCCTGGCCATAGGAGGCGCTCAGAGTGAGCTACACAAGTGAATGTACTCTGCAAAGAGCTGTTTTCAGATCAAATCCAGCCACACCTCGATGAGCATCACCACAAAAAAAAAAGCCTGGCCAACTCCTCATCTAGTTTCCATTATGTGCCAAAGACAGAAACCTGCATGAATGCAGGCAGAGCAAAAACACTGAGCCAGAAGGCGGGAGGGCAGGAGCCCAGGTGTCTAATCTCCATGCAGCTCTGCTTGCCATGTGATCTCCGGTAAGTCACTTCCCCAACCTGGGCCTTTGTTGGCCCATCGGTAAAATGAAGCAGTGGCGAACAGATGGTGGGGTCCCCCTAACTCACACCTGTGGTTGCGTTTGTGTCTGGAGTTTCCCCCGTCAGGGACCCTCTAAAGTAGGGTAGGTATGGGCAGAAGGTGGCTGAGCTGGCAGAACTGGTCTCCTCTAGAGAAAAGAGTCAGGGCTTTCCCAAGATCCCGGTGTGGGAAGATGGCAGTGTGTCCCAGAGCCCAGAACACGGGGAGCTCTGGGACATGCCCGGTCTCCTTCCTGTGCTTCTGCCCCTACCCAGAAACCAAGGCCTGTGGTCCCCATTCCAGCCCCTCCCAGTGGTCTCTGCCCTATGATGCTTGCTGGCATCGGATTTGAGGCTTCCCTGAACATAATTAGAGCTTTTGCCACTGCGCCCACTCAAGCCGGACGTGGATGGGAGGGCCTGTGCAACAGGGAGGAGAGGGAAGCTCCATACATCTTGGCAACATCGACTTACTTGTAACAAACAGGTTGGCTGAGTTGGGCGGCCAGCACCTTGTTTCCTGTCGTGATGTAAACCCCATGGAGGTAATTCTGGCATTTGAAAAAGTCCTGGTTTGGGAAAGCAGAAACTAACACTTACTGAAAGCTTATGGCGGCCCACATGCTGCTCTAGGCTAAGGGTCAGCAGACTACAAACCGTGGGCCAAGTCCCGTTTTTGTATGACCACCTATTTTTATATGGTCCATGAGCTAAGAATGTATTTTACGTTTTTAAATAATTCTCTAAGGACACCATAATAGCCATGGAATAAAGCTTAAAATATTTATTATCTAGAATCTTAAAAAAGCTTGCTGACCTCTGCTCAAATTTCCTCACATCGCTGAACTCCTAATCCTCACAATAACCTTATGAAGTAGGTTACTATTACCTCCATTTTACAGATGAGACAACAAGAGGCCTAGAGAAGTTAAGTGGTTTACTGAAAATCAATAGCTGGCAAATGGTAAGAAATGGAACCCAAGCAGCTGGTTTCTGAGTTCCTTCTTAAAACCAAACAGATGTTTTCATGAACTGACTGCGTGACCTCGAAGAAGTCATTGCAGTCTCTGCTAAATGAGTTGAAGGCCCTGAACTCCATCAGAGATTCTAAATTGGGGGTGGGAGGGTCCCTGAGAGAAATAAACTCCAGGGAATCCCAGATGCCTCCCCTGGAAACCCAACCAAGGTTCATGAGTTTAGTGTAAAGGTTCGTGTGTGTGCACAGTTGCCTTTATTTGAGGAGAGAATCCAAGTCACCCCCCGACCCCTCAGGAATGACTCAAACAGAGTAGAACTACTGGGCTAGCTTTCTTGGAAAGTCATTTCCAGCTTTAACGTGGTTTGATGTTATCCCTTTGGGCTGTGAGTTTTGTCCCTCAAGTGGTATCTTTTTAAGCTGTCTTTTCCCATCCAAATGTTCTTTATTTCAGTCATCTTTTCTGTACATATTACCTATTGGGTTGGGTTCCCCCCCACCACCCCTGCCCAGTCCCAAAGCTCTTCATACTCATCACTGAGAAAAAGGAGAAAAAAACCAGATACACTTAAGAGCAAGGGAGGTTTTTCTACTGATGTATTCTGTAACGAGGTGAATAAGACTGAGTGGGGAGGGTGGGAACTCTATTCCCTTCATTGTAATTATCTGTGTTTCTCTGTTATCTGTTCAACAGTCGTCACTGTGTGTGGACAGTGAGCTGCTCAGGGTCAGGGGTCAGGTGCTATGGGCCTTTAGCCCCATGGCCGGATCCAGGCCCGGCACATGGTAGGCACTCCATAAGCGTTTGAAATGAACCAGCGATGCCTGGCTGGCTGGATAATTCGACGGTGGAGGGGTGTAAGAGAAACCAGTCCTGTGGGTGGGGGGAGGAGGTGCATGTGGTGAGCAGATTAGTTCTGCTGGCTCCCCGTTGCTTTCCAATCGGCAGCCTCCTGTGTTCTTGGAGAAGTTTTGGAGGGCAGTCTTCATTTTCCCATCAGCCATGATTTGAAAGGTTATAGCTGATTGTTTAACTGACAGAGCCAGGACTTCCCACATGAATCTAAAGAAATGAGTCCAATCTCTTGCATCCCACAGAGGCCAGAGGAAAAACGAGGGCTTCCTGGCCCTTTGTCTTGGACCCAGACATCCCCATACTGGAGAACAATGAAGTCTCCTCTCTCCCTCCTTCTCATTCTCCCCAAATTTCCAAACTTTTCCTCTCTCCCACTCCTCCTCGCCTCTACTTCCATCTAGTGACTCACAGCTACTGAAGGTAGAAGTGCAAGCCCCTCTGCAAAGCCAGCTCCATGGGCTGATGGGTCTGGAAACATCTAGAGATAAACCGTAGAGGCAGGGAAGAGCAGAGGGCACACCACAGCCCAGGAGAGGGCTGGGGTGCTCACGCCCATGGAAGGATAACACAAGAGCTAAGGAAAGCGTCTGCTGCTGGGAAGTCTGGAAGGTTCTGACCTGCTCTCAAGCTGGATGAGCCACTAACCCGCACTCAGCTGGGCTTTCTTCATCCGCACGGTGTATGTCATGCCTTGTCTGCTTCCCCAAAAGGGTGAGTTCAACCAACACATCAGGGAGCAAAACTGTAAGTTGTCCTATAAAACCGAAGCTTCAGTTGAGTGACTATTTTGATGCTCTGACTCAGCAGCTGCAGGAGAAAAAGAAGTTGCGGTGTAGTTTGAACTTGTAGAGGAGTGAACTTGTACAAAGGTTTGGTGGAGGTTAAAACATGCGGGCCGGGGAGATAAACATGGTCTGTAGCAGCATGGTGTCACAAAGAGCAGACTCTCAGAGCCAGACAGAAATGAGTGTGAATTCCAGCTCTGCCATTTACTGTCTATATCTTCTTGGGCAAGTGTCCTTCTCCATGGGCTTCTTATTTGTATGGCAAGAATACCAGAACCTGCCTCATTTAGATGATGTAAGTTTAAAGATAAGACATGCTGAGCAGCTGGCCCATAATAGGCTCTCAGTAAAGTGTAGAAATTATAAATATTGCTCAGACACGCTCTGTTCCAAGAAAAGAGGGAGTGAGTAGACAGGTAAGGGATGGTTTGGGTTACACCTACCCTCCCAGGCAGAGGAGAGAGGCGGGACACCAGAAACAAACCCTCCCTCACAGCTTCCGGAGGATCCTCAGCTGGGATCTCCCCAGACCGCCTCATTCCATAACATCATGGGTTGAACGGGGCCGCTGGTGGAAGGAATGCCACAACCCCGAGTGGACATTGGCAGAGGAGTAAGGATGAGGACATAGGGAGGTTTCACTAGAGAAAGGCAAGGAAAGAGGCAGGAAGGATTGAGAAAGAGAGCTGGGGGATCAAGTCAATACCTGAGGAGCCACTGAGTGGAAGGTGGAAATGGCTTACCTGGTGTTGGTCCAAGAATGGAAATTCAGAGAGGCTGTGAAGATTACAGAGGCCCAGAGTTGCCCTGCATATCACGATGAGCCTTCTCATGGAGCTGGTTGGGGCTGGGCCAGGCTGTCTTGTGGGGAGGATGGTTGTTTCAACACCACAGCGGTATGTAAGCACCTGTTCAGGACTCCACACTCTGGGTGGGAGACTGAGATAAATGACCTCTGATATCCTTCTCAATAACCCTAAGGGGCATCCCTCGGACCAGGACCACCCAAGACAGGCAGGCTAGTTTGGAAGAGGCAGCAGCACCTTTGAGACCTGTCACCACTGCCCTCCCCTTGGACCAGCTGGAAGCGCTCAGAAACAGCAACACCTCCACACCCCCTCCTGGAAGCCTCCCACCCCAGCCGGCCGGCTCTGGGAAAGGAAGCACCGTGACTCACAAACGTGGGGTTGGAGAAACGTGGCTGCCTCGGGAATGTTGTGACAGGATTTCCCAATCTCTCCTCCTTTGCTGCCAAATCGCTCCAGAAACAATGGGGCCCTCCCCCCTCTCATGCTCTCTATCTCATTCTCTCTCTCAAATAAATAAATAAAATCTTAAAAAAAAAAAAAAAGAAAGAAACAATGGGCCCAAGAGCCAGTGATTAACTACAAAGTAAATACACAGTGATTGGGTGTTTTATTGGCTTTTACCCTGAGTGTAAAACCCTTAGAAAAGAAGCCAACTAGCCCGGGGCAGAGAGACCAGCCACGATGGGAGAGGGCCGGTTATGGTTGGCAATTCCTGACGAGGAGAACCGGGACAGGATCATGAAGAGAAGCTCATAGGTAGGAGATACTGAAATGAAACAGTGACACATACTTTTCAGGTGATACAGCAGTCACTTTTCAGATCCTGATGGACTACAAAAGCCACACAGGTCACAAATGTCACAGCAAACTTCTCCTAATAAACGGAGTAAGGCCACACCCAAGTGAGCACACAACAGAGAAACCATTGTCTTTCCAGAAAAGTGAAAAGATCAGACATTCCATTCCTGAGGCAGCCCAGACCCAAACCATGCCCAAACCACACCCAGTTTACCATTCTTACGTCTTCCTTCTACTCGGGCTCATTCAAGACTCTTCAGCAAGACACTAAACTGTGTCACGGAAAGTGTAGATGCCCCTGTCTCCAGACCTGGCTTCATTCAAGGCCCTCCTCCACTGAGTCCTAGAGGTGTGGCCTTAAACCTCAGCTTCCCCATCAAGCGAATGGGAACAAGAGTAATTATTTTGTAGAGATGCTGAAAGGATTATAGGGAATTTATTTATAAAGTGCCTGGCACAGTTTGGTGATCAATAAATGGCAGTTCCTATTAATAACAGAAACTATGGAAATGGAAAAAAAAAAAGACAATTAGAAGCAAAAACAGAAATGTTACTCCAAATACTTCTCCTAAAACAATTTGAGGGATTCGCTTATTTAAAAAAAATTTTTATTATAAACATTTTAATAATAATAAACGAGAAAATATAGAGGGAATACCTATTCCCTAGCTCTTTTGAATTCTAATACTTTGCAATGCCTTTTTTTTTTTTTTACATTTTTAAAGAAAGGAAACATTAAAGCTAGAATCAGGTACACCTTTATCTATTCCGTGATCTGCACCCCTGCTCCCCAGCCCCTGGGCTGACTTCCCATTCTTTCTATGGTTTCCTGGAGCCTCCTTCCTCCATCCTGAGCTAACAATACCACAGCCCACTTCTCTGTCTGCATTTTCTTCATTCTGGCTGAAGGATCACCTGCTTCCTCCAGCACTCCCAAGTGTCTCTCAGGAGGAGGGGAAACACTGACCGGCCTTCCAGCCTTGCCCATTGCCTCAGTGGCTGCTGCTGACAGAGGCCAGAGCTGACCGTGGTCAGGCAAAAAGAGGACGGAGGGGTCTTCCCAACCTGGCCCAGGCAGTTTCACAGACGTTACACCATGGAATTCCCCCTGTGTCACTCACAGACAACATCATCTCTGTTCTATAAAAAAGCAAACCAAGCGGAAGGAGCTGCCCATGGCCTGGCAGGGCAGAATTCAAACGCGGGCTGCCTCATCCCAGCAAGGCAGACGGCAAGGAACACGTCCACTCCAATGTGGGAGGAACTGGTGGTTAATGGCCTGAGTCTTAGGGTTTCAGGTGTGGGATCACTGTTGTGCCCTACACAAGTAGCTAGGTTTTGCTTTTCACAAAACCAGAACTTTCTTTAAAAATATTTGTATAACTAAGAGAAAGAAAGAAAAAGAAAATCTGAAGAAACTCAGATGAGACTCTAACCTCTAGACCCCTTCGATCCCCTTCCACGTTTGTTAATTTGTATGTACAAGTGGTGTCAGGAGACCCAAAGTCTAGGCTTGGTCTCACCACTTACAAGCATGTGACCATGAGCCAGTCCTTCTCTTGTTCTCCCAAGGCCTCTGTTTCCACATCTGTAAAATAGGGATAAGGTCTTCCCTGCCTACTCCCCAAGGGCTGCTGTAGGGCCGTCAGCAAATGATGAGCATAGAAACGCTAAAGCACAATCTGCATCTAGATAGTCTCCATATTCCTGCGTCCTGGGGGTCAGGATGACAAGGGTTCGGGGGCAGCTCCCCTCCCTCGCACCCAGCTCCTGGGGCCTGGTCTTCAGCAATCCCCACAATCACCAGCTTTGTGCAGGAACCTATAATGATCTCCAAGCATCCTCACGCTCCTGAGATGGCTGATAATAAGAGCTGAGATGAATTCTCCTTAGTGTATGCCAAACATCATGTTGGGCATTTTATATTCTTTATCTTGAATCATTAAAATAATTATAGATGCCAAGTATTTTTTTAATTAATCAAATACAGTTTTGCTTTTATAAATCACACCCTGAAATATAAAACTGATAAGGTGGTATTGGTCTTATACCAAGGAAAGTCAGATCATCAACACCAGTTTAGAAAACAGGGCACAAGAACAGATGAAATACTAAGTTCAGTTGGGGAAAAGCATGTTTGTAATAACAAGGTAGGAAGTCATCCTTTTCACAGATGTTGGGGAAATGTAGATTTACCTCCATTTTATAATTCAGGAAATTGAGGGGTGAAGTAACTTGTTCAAAATCACACAACCAGTGAGTGATGTGAAGCCAGGATGGGAGCCTAAGTCTCACTAGATCCAAAGTCTATTTTCCTTTGGCTACACTATACTGAGTGCCTCAGAATCCCTGTCTGCTCACAGACTGATCAGACTGTATCCCTATTCCCTATAGCCATAGGCTGGTAAAAGTTTGGGATCATGCATAAAAGCAAAAGTAACAGTTCGTCATTACTCAGTCTTCCCTGAAACTGGGTGTTTGGAGGTTGAGTTAGGGTGGGGATAGAGGTTCGTGGCTGGGGTTAGTGATGAGAATTGGACTTGCAGAGAAGAACTGAAATGGTCACCATGAACACTCCTGGGAATGTATACTGATACTCTGACATTCTGGGCACAACTTGCTGTTAATTAACCCAATAAACATTACTGAGCCCCTAATATATGCTGGTGCTGGGGCTATAGCGCTCAGATATGGTTCCCTGTCCCCCATATACATTTGACAAGCCTGAGTTCACGGAATGCTTTTGTTAAATACTTGAAAGTTAAAATTAAAAAAATACAAAGAGCTAAAGCTAACACATGATATTTTGCAGATGTAGGCAGGAAAGGGATGAAGGAAGAAGGGAGAATCAGAGCTGAGGCTGTGCTTAGTTAATAAACTCATCATAAGGGCTCCTGGCTGGCTCAGTCAGTAGAACATGCGACTCTTGATCTTGGGGTCGGCAGTTCAAAGCCCACATTGGGCATACAGCCTACTCAGAAAAAATAATTGTATTTCCCAACTAATTCCCAAAAGAATCTATACAAAAATTAAAACAAAACAAACAAACTTATCATCGTGTTCGTGTGCCTGTTGGGGAAAGCCTGAACGACCACAGAAATTAAGAAAGGGGGGGTCACTCTGTCTTCTACAGAGGACATTGAGAATAGGCTCCCTTTATCCCCAATCTCCCAAACACTTACCATGGCTGAAAAAGGTCAAGAGCACTAGCCTGAATAGCTAAGCAGTCAAAGACACCATGGTACACTATTCCCCAGCCCTGAGAACCCTTCCCCATTAGCTTTCCTCCCAACAGCCTGGGACGCACTGCAATATCAAACAGGTAGCTCTGCCATTTACAGAGGATTATGGCTATTTAGTCAATAGCTGGGAAAGTAAAAAGATAGGGTAGGTATTTAAAAAATAAAAATGCACCCTGACATTTTTACAATGTCTTACAGTTTACAAAACTTCGGTATCTACCATCTCATCTATTTTAGATTTGATTATCAGAATGCCTTGTGAAATAGAGAGATGCTATTATCTCCATTTTACAGATGGGAGGACAGAAGCCCAGGAAAGTAAGTGTTGCTGTTCTGGTATGTTACAGGATTTAGGAAATCACAGAGGAGAACTGCCCTGAGTGCAGTAGACAGGGCCTATCCGGGAAGGCTTCCTGGAGGCAATCCAGGAGCTCAGTAGAAAAAGCACAATAATGCACTAAATAAATGAGGGGGAAACTCCCAGTATATGATTTCACAAAGGCTTGAAAGTGTGAAGAAGACTGGAGACACTGGCAGGAGCAAGATGAAGATGACGATGGTGGTGGTGGTAGGGACCATGACAGCAGCTAACACCTATCCATGCTTACTAAGTGCAGATACTGTTAGAACAGATAGTGTTCTAAGCTATTTATCTACATTAATTCTCACACCTACCTTGTTAGTAGGTATTTTTATTATCCCCATTTAACAGACAAGGAAATTAAGGGGAAGTACCTTGCTCAAGGCCATACACACATGGTCTTGTTCGCTAACTTAAAAAGTGTGAATTCTATCCCAAGAGCCAAGAGCACCTCTCACTCTGCTCTCAGCCGAGATGGACACAGATTTGTGATTTAGAAAGCCTTCTCTGACACAGGATGGACTGGGTGTTGGAGAGGGGGAAGGAAACTGGAATCTGACTAGGCTTTTGGTTCAAGAAGCTGAACAGAGTGGGGTAGAGAGCAGAGGAGCATTCCCACAATGCCTGGTGCTTGTGGGTAAGAAATTGCCCTCACATGACTCTGCTTTCTCTACCTGTAAGGCAGAATGATGTATTTCCACCTACCCGCCTCAGGAATTGCTTGAAAATTAATGGGATAGAGGCCTCGCTGGCTTTCATGTGTTAAACAACATCCTTGTACGATTGCTGGTGTTCATTAAATGCTGAACATATAAAATGTGCTTCGAATGGAGGAGCCAGGAATAATTATAGCTTG